GGGCGGGTCTCGACCCCGCGGGCTCAGGCAATCCACTCACCTCAGCCTCCCAAAGGCGCGGGATTACAGGCTGAGCCACCGAGCCCGGCTGTGTGTAGTAATTTTAAGAAATTCACATGTACACCTGATGGCCAGAAAAGAATATCCACAAGGAACCTTTCAAAATTCTTAGCCTAATACCTCTCCCTCCCAACTCCTCATCTGAAATCAACTTCATGCCCTTATAGAAATCAAACCAAAACAAACCAAAGACCCAGAAACCCTCTCTCCCTTCTAAAATAGTAACCTCATGGATTTGGTTTTACAGCATATGGAAAATGGTGTGATGACACTTCTGATAAACAGCTTGGCAAAAAACCATAACACCTCGAACTCTACCAGATCATAGGCCGGTTAGAGGAGCCTACCTGCCTATTGGTACCTGTGCAGTAAGAAGAATCTGGTACCTTGGAGGGCTCTGGCTTGTACAAGGGAGATCCCTACTGCCAGGACAAGCACTTGCCACATGTGATACAGGCTCCAGATACTCTAACCCAAATTTTAGCACCAGTGTTTTTCCACTTCACTTTTTATGATGGAAGCATAAAGGAACCAGCGTCCAGAGGCAAGTGACATATGCCTTTAGCTTGTTGTCATCCTTAATTTCTTCATTCATAAAACTCTGCTTTAAAAGACAACAATTTCCATTCCTTCTAAAAAACAGATTCTTGCCTTCAGCCCCAATGATCGCTGGCAAAGACTCTTATTTCCCAATGGACGAGAGAGACTCCTTCATCCTCCTGGTCATAGTCGGGATGAGGTGCATGTGGTCATCCACACACTTGGCCACACAACTGTCCAGCTGCTGCTTCACCTGAAGCTCCTTGCTCCCCGCATCTATGGAATCTTTGGCTTTGTCGTTGCAATGCATGGTGCACCGGCCAGGCGGTCCTGGAACTTCTCCAGCTCATTGGTCACCAAGGCCTGGGCTTGGGCTAGAGGCGCATGGCAGCGCTCAATGCACTGGTGCACCTGCTGCATGGATGCCTGGCTGTCGTCACAACAGCTGGCGCTGCACCGGAACATGGGACCCTGCATCTTCCGGATGTTCTCTCTCTCCAGACTCTTCACCACGGTGTCCACCGCCTCCTGCACCTGGAGCTGCTGCAGCTCCGCCATGGCGAGCCTGCGCCATCCCGCGCCGGCGCCCCATGAGTTTCTTATATAACTTTCCAGAATTTCTTTCTTTTTTTTTTTTTGAGTCAGAGTCACACTATGTCGCCCAGGCTGGAGTGCTGTAATGGCATGATCCTTCCGCCTCAGTCCCCTAAGTAGCTGGGACTCAGGGTGCATGCAACCATGTCCAACTAACATTTTAATTTTTTTGTCAAGAAGAGGTCTTGCTATGTTTCCCAGGCTGGTCTTGAACTCCTGGCCACAAACGATCCTCCTGCCTTGGTCTCCTAAAGTGCTGAGATTACAGACAGTAGAGATTACAGACATGAGCCATAGTGTCCAGGATTTCTTTAGGAGGATCAAGCAAACACACACACACACATATTTTTAAAAGTAGGATTTATTGAGAGGACAGAAAAGCTCCCAGAGTGGGAGGGGACCTTATAGAGTTGCCCACACATTTTTTTCTTATACAATAGTAAGCATGGATACATTTATTCTGTACCTTGGTATTTAGCTAACAAATATTTCATATTTATACATAGTGAGGTTCCTAAATTTTTTTTGAAAGTTTGTACCTGCTGATGGACAAGTTTATGATTATTGCAAATGATACTCAATGAATAACACTGTATGTTTGGGTCATTTCATACATGCACATAGGTACTGAGTTAAAATTCTATTTCTCTTTGAAGTTGGTATGAACTTGTGACTTGCTTTGACTAACAGAATATGGTAGAAGTAATGTCAAGCAAATTCAAGAGGCATTGCTGCTTCCATTTTTACCCTCTTGGAACCCTGAGGCCACTATGGTATGAAAAAACCCAAGGTGAAATATCACACTGAGAGAGTAGCTAAGCCATTCCTGTCAACCTAGCCATCAGAGCAAAGGTCCCAGACATATTGGAGTGAGGCCATCTTGGGTCACCCAGCCACAGCTGGGTTGCCAGCTGACTGAAGCCACTTGAATAATCCAAGGTAAAAAAAACTACCTAGCCAATGTCAGAATCTGGAGAAACAATAAGTTGTTGTTTTATCACAGTAAGCAAACGCAAAGTTTTTGAGGTGGTTTCCTAAGCAGCAGTAGCTAACTGATACAACAGAAACCTCTTTCAGATAGATTTTCAGAAGTAAGATTGCTCGTTCAAAGTGTAAATGCATTATAATTTTGATAAATATTATTTGGGTTGTATCATTTTGCATTCCCACCAATGATGGGTGAAAGTACCTGTTTCCGCACAGTCTTGCTACAAGAGTGTTTTGCCAAACTTATGGACTGTTGCTAATGCAGTAAAAAAATGGCATTTGAGTATTGTCTTTTTTAGTTTATCTTATTATGTATGATGTTGAACATCTGCATATATATTTACACCTTGTGTATTTTTTGAGAACTATCATGTTCTTTGCTCATTTTTTTTTTTTTTTGAGTTGGAGTCTCATTCTGTCGCCCAGACTGGAGTGCAGTGGCTGCTACCGGCCACCGCAGCCTCGACCCGCTGGGCTCTGGCAATCCTTCTGCCTCAGCCTTCCAAGTAGCCGGAATTACAGGCATGCACCACCACGCCCGGCTGATTTTTTGATTTATTGTAGAGATGAGGTCTCGCTGCCCAGGCGGGTCTCAAACCCGCGGGCTCAGGCAATCCACTCACCTCAGCCTCCCAAAGGCACGGGATTACAGGCTGAGCCACTAAACCCGGCTGGGAGCTTTTAAATAGTAGGGAGATTAGCACTTTGTATATGATAAGAATTGCAAATATTTTCCCCAGTTTGTTGTTTTTCTTGATTTTACTTATGATGTTTTTCGCCATGTAGAATTTTTGTATATAGACAAATGTATTAATCTTTTCTTCTATAACTTCTGAATTCTGAGTTGGAGTTGGAAAACCTTTCCTCACTCCAAGAGTTATAAAGGATTTTACCCATATTTTCTTCTAATATTTCTATGGTGTTTATTCAGAAAAATGGCATGACGCATCACTTATAGAGTAATGTTCAGGGCCAAAATTACAACATGAGTGACCTGGTCTCTCACTCATGTGGGTAGGAAACATAGGAGAAAGAGAAGCTTGTTCAGGAGGCTCTAATAGGGAGGTGATTTGGGACACATTGAGCTCCAAATGCCTGTGGGACCTCCAGGAAAGGCCACTGAGGAGGCAAATGGATTCAGGGGTCTGGAGCTCAGCTGCAAATTTGGGCTTGGAGATAGCACACAGATGTCAGTTAAAGCCACGAGACTAACCATAGAGTTTGAAGAGGAGAGGATCTCAGATAGAGCTCTAGGGAGTAGGCAAGTTCAGGCCCAAAACATGCTCATGGGGAGAGAACTATAGGGGTGTTATCTCCGTGGCCCTTGGGGCTTGGCACAGAGACAGACTCAGAGATGTCTGTAAGGTGCACTAAGACCCTTAAGTGAGACATATGTGGATTTCTTTGGCTCCGGGGGACAAAGCCAACATGGAGAGGAAGGAGAACGAACAACTTCTCCAGCAGTCAACCTTAACCCCTCAGGTGTGGGAGAGAGACCCTGTGATGAGGATGGGAGGTCAGCTAGTCTGCCCCTTTCCCCTCCAGATAATCCAAAGCAGAACATCAGTGGGTGACAGCAAGTCCTCAAGGGTGGGCAGAACAAAGGGAGCCACCTCTAGCTGGTGTCTTCCTTGGATCATAGTGTAGTGGGTAAGAACATAGATTCTGGAACTCCACTATCTGGGATCGAATTCTGGCTGTGCCATTTACTAGTTGTGTAACCTTGGAAAATTTACTTAACTTGTCTGAGCCTCTGTTCCCTCCTCTGTAAAATGAAGACAGTAATATTACCTATCTCATAGAACTGTTATGAGGATTAAATGAGTTAATATTTATAAAGTGCTTATATTGGGACTTGGCGTGTATAAGTGCAATATAAATATTAAATGAACAAGAAATCATTTCAGTCATTCATGAATATTTATCAATCAACTACTGTGTGCTAGACACTGTTATAGGTGCTGGGGCACAGCAGTGAATAAGGCAGATGAAAGTCCTTGTCCTCGTGGAGCTTATAATCTAGTGATGGGTAGGTGAGCAGTAATGAGAGACAATATACAAATAAATAAGCAAAATCTATATGTCAGATCCAGATGGTAACATGAAGGACATGTATGAGTTGGCAAGGCCATGAGCCTAGAACCTGGTACACAGTGGGGCTCAGGAGATGGAATGGGAAGGAAGACCCTGGACAACCAGCAAAGCAGAATTTTGCAGAGACACCACTCTGGGAATTCCCATAAAGATTATCCTGCCACCTCCCTACTGTGACAATCATCATCACCATCATGTCATAGCAGCAAACACCTATTTAGCACTATTTCACACCAGGTACTCTTCTATTCATTCGACATATATCATCTCATTTGATCCTTGTAGTAACCTTGTGAGATTGGTACGATTATTATGACCATTTTTCAAATGGGAACTGAGGCATAGAGAGGTTAAGTAATTTGCCTCAGAGTTAGTAGGTGAGTGAGCTGGGATTCCAGCCCAGGTCACCTGGCTTCAGTGTTGGTAGGACTGGACCTACAGGTAGAGGGAACAGGACAGGTTGATCAGCCTCAGGGCCAGGTAGAGCCAACAGGTAGAGTCAATAACCTCTCTGGCAGTCACCCCCAACCCAGCAGTGTAGGAGAGAGACCCTGTGACAGAGGATGGGAGAATGCTCAGTGGGCAGGCAGTCTGTCCCCTCCTCCCCCGAGATGATTCAAAGCAGGGCAGTAATAGGTGGCAGTAAGCTCTTAAGAGTGGGAGAGACACGGACAGCCACCCCAGCTGGTACTTTTCTTGGACCATAGTATGGTGGTTGAGAAATATATACCCCCAATGCCTACACATACTGGAGGGAACCTATACCTCCCAACACCCAAACCTCCCAATAGACCTAATGCACACTTCAAGGCTGCTTAGAGGGAGGTGGGAATGGGACAAAGAACTCAGCTCTGAAGAGTCCAACCCCAGAGCCAGTCTCTCTAAATGGCTTCTGTGCCCTTCACCTACCACCAAAATACTTTGATTCCAGTCCCCTGTGACCTTAAGACACCATTCAAAGCCCTGTGATCCCACCCAGAGACCACAAATGAAATCATTAACATCATCATTCTGAGAGGTTTTTGTTGTTGTTGTTATCTTGAGAGGTTTAACAGAAGCACGAACAACTCCAGATTGCAGCTGGGGACCAAGAAGGCAAGTCATCAAGCGGCTGAGATGGAGCTGGGCTCGGTGGCTCAGCCTGTAATCCCGCGCCTTTGGGAGGCTGAGGTGAGTGGATTGCCTGAGCCCGCGGGTTCGAGACCCGCCTGGGC